AGCGCACCCGAAGGAGATGCAATAAAGAGAGTGCGTTGGATCGATTGTCTTCTAACGGAGAGAAGGTCATTCCTGGAAAGACGAATCGACACCTCCCTAGGCCATCGGACTCCGCCATTTCTTACTCTTTTCTTTAGTCTGGTGTCTAGTTCAAAAAACTATTTTTATTTTCTATACTAAGAATAGTCGATTATCATTAAACGTAGATTCACTTTACTTACTTTAAGATACATGTTCGGTTTTCTAATGATACAACACAGTCACAGATTTATTTTTATCATCATAATATAACGTTACAGAACTTTATCGTTTTATAGTTTCTGATCCATTTTTCGGTTGAAACAAATACATTTTTTTATTATATTCTATTCCCAAAAACTCATCTATCACATCATTCATCCTTTGATAAAAAAAAAACCTTAACATTTATTTTATACTTCTAAATCACACTAAACAAAAAATTCAATTATTTATTATTGAAAAGAGTTTAACACAAAAAAATAGTTAACAAACTTTTATTGACAATACAAAATCTTAATAAAAATCCAGTTTAAAATATTTTCAAAATCAAAATTCAGTCAAATCTCTGAACAATTGCCACGAACGGGAACATAAAAAATGCGTTGTTCGGAGGAGCCTGTTATTTATATGTTATTTTATATGCAAAAATAGCCGTTTTTGTAGTGTCTACTATAATAAATTTAAAGTAGAGATAACTTCACTTACTCTCAATAAAAAGATATTTGTTAAATCATCTTTACTATACTTATTTATAGTAAAAATTACATACACGCCAAAAAATGTAAATTTAGTATATTTTTGACGTGACAACAACAGCTTGTAATCTAAAGAATAATTTTCAATTTAAAATGTCATTGATAAAATAGCCTAACGTTTGAAGTAATCACCGTTATCGCTTTATACCATGCGTCGCTATCGCCAATAGACTTAATTCACTATAAGAGCGGAAACACTAACCAGTTTAAGAAGGTTTTTCTCTGGACATCTCGAGGGCTACTCCACATCCGGCTCACGCGATTGGTCACTCGCCATTGCTGATTGGTTCAATTACAGCAGTACTTAAAAGTTAGGACGACGAGCTGCACTTTAACTCTCGATAGATTTTACATTCGATGATATATTTCTTTGATTATTAGTGAACATACAATTATAGATTGCATTTAACTTCATTCTTTCCTACTTTTTAGTTATTTTTAGCGTTCTCTGATCTTATATTTTTGCATATTTTTATATGTTAGGCTTGTATTAAAATAATTATATAAAAATTTTTGAGAATTAATTAAAGCGATAATAACGGTGAAAATATAATTGAAATGTCAAAATGTTTAGCTTAAGTTTGTTTAGAATTTAGACAAATTAGATTATATACTGAGTGGTCTAAAAGTTAGTTAACTGCGATGTTTTTAAGAACACTCAAATCGGTTTGTTCCAATACAATAACTAGCCTTATAAAATAATCTTTAGCTATATTCTGTTTAACTAACTTTGGACCATTCTGTAAATGGATATGTAATTTCATGATAAAAACTTACGTTATTATTATATTTATTCAACAAATACTCTTAACAGATTTATCGAAAAATCATAGATGTTAAGAATAATTACGTTCACAAATTAAATGAAAAATATGCTTTTAAAGATAAGTTTTTATAAAATTACTAAACAAATACAATAAGATCTGTCTAAAATGGAATCTGAATTGAACTAAACGGAAACTTGATTAAAACAGAAAAAAAAAATCTTCAAAATAGCGATTCCGGTTTACACAGGTTTTCCAGTACTGTACAATAAATCTTACGCTGTATTTGATCTTTTCACCACGCTAATATCAGAGATATGAAATATAATTCTTCATATTTTAGTCTATTTCTATACACGACATATCAAAATTAAGCATTTTTAATTCAAGTATATAAACTGATTTTGAATCATGTTTGAAAAAAGAAAACGAAAAAACATGATTTTTAGTAAAGTGGAAAGTTCTTATGTTTTTTTTAAATTTGATTATTATTATTTATTAATTCAGATATCCGAACCAATATTTTTTTGCTTTCGATTAATAAAAAATTTATGTAATTTAAAAATAATTCTGTTAGTACTTTAAGAAACATTATCATACAAAGATAAATTAGTGTTTGATGTTATTTATTAGTTTAGTAAAAAAAGACGATAGGACATTTGTCATCCGTACGTCCAGGCAGTTTGTCGTGGGCTGTAGAAAAAATGGATGAAAGATATACAGATTGGTTTAATTATGACTTCTATTTTTAAATTCATTCCCAGTTGCATTAATATGCTGCCTGGAAATGCAGTTTTTTTCTTATTTTATGAAGAAATCTGAGAATTCTATACAGATTTTTAAAGAAAGAAATTAAATATATATAGGCCTATTTGTGAGAGAGAAAACAAGAACTCTCTCATAATCAGATATTTTCTAATTCCAGTCCCTTATTATATTACTTACACGACTTTATGCAAAAATACAATAGTTAAATTTAATATTGTAAAATTAACGTGCCGTCGTCTGAAATTGTTATGAATTTATTATAGAGAAAATTCTTTTAGAAAACATTTTATAAATTGTATCAGATGGATAGATTATATTAATTTTCTTATTATAAATCAAAATCAATTACAATGTTTTCTTAAACCCACTTCATTTTCGAGAAAATAAAGTTAGATCAAACCTTCCGACTGTTGTTAAATGCTAACAAAATTTCTTATCTCTCGTTAATTTTAAAATTAAAGTTTTATTAGCATCTATTGAAAACAAATATTAAACGGGATTAGACTTATAATGAGACATTCCAGCATTACTTTTGCTTATAATTTTGATATTCCAGCTTTAAATAGAAGAATGGAAAACGAAATTCTGAACTAAACTGTCTTGGAAAAGTACGAGGATCCAGATCAGATTGTTATTAGTGAATCCTTTGCTGCACGAGCATGAAATTTTAGATTAGATTGAGAATTTCCAGTTTATCGTGGATTGTTATCGTTGGCTTTAGTTACTCCTATTAAGAGTAATGGGGATCAACTAAGCATCAGAATAACAACGAGAAGTCAAAACTTTCTAAACTGATTTTTAACATGGTCCATAGAAATTTTGAGTTGTATTATAGATTATTCACTTACTATAAAAAATAATTTATATAATAAAAGTAATTGGATTTTATTATATAGATACTTGATTATTTTAAGACATAAAATTTCGAATATTCGATGGTTTAATTTAAGTCTTTTACTTTTTATACAAATATTTGATATTATTAGTTTAACACAGTTAATAAATAAATGTTTGAAATTGTATTTGTCAATAAAATTTCAAGGAGCAATGTATATAATTGTCAAAATGCTATAAGATTTATTCATAAAATTTTGAGATTCTAAACGCATTGATTAATAAATTAGCTACTTTTGTAGATTGTATCTAGTGTTATGTTGACTGCGTATTTATACAATATCTTCAATAGTAATAATTGTATTTTTTATAACTTATCATTTTTCATTAGTATGCTTATTTTTCGCATGTAATAATAATTTTTTAATATAATTATTACATTATNCTTTAAAAATATTTTAATTTTCACGACAATGTTCGAATTTAACTACATTTAAAAAATAAAATAATACAAATTTTTCGGATAAGTGGTCTGTCCGGGTCACTTCTCTGTCTTCTTGACTGTCTCCATTGTAAGCATAACCGAATCTAGAGCTTTATATTAGATGCTACATTGAGCATGTTTATTTGAACCATTCCATTGTTTTTTTTAAGCTTTACATCTCAGTTTTAAGCTATTTAATTAAATAGGAAAACGGGTTTGTGATCTCTGAAGTGAGAAACAAAATGGCGGATTGTTACTCCTCTATATATTCTGTTTAGTGGTTTAGCCGAACTCATGATGGGCATAGAAAAAATGTCTTAATGTCTACATGGAAAAAAAGAGATTAAAAAACCATATATTAACGTATTGGATTATTGAATATTTATATTAAATGTCTGGATAGATTTTATTGTATAAAATAAAAATATTTAATTGTATTTATTATATGTACTCCAATCATTTTTAATTATTTCTGTTCTTTTATTCTGCTTCTAGCACGAAGTACGATTACATTTTAGCGATAACGATGTTGGAGGAATTGTAATGAATACGATGATGCGGCGACAGCCAGCCATCCGGAGGAGCGATTGCGCTTGCGCGGAAAATCCTTTCCATCAATTTGCTACTGCTTCCATTAAAGTGCTTCGTTAATATTTATGTGGCGATCGATGGCAGGACCGCTGCAGCGTGCGCGACTCCCACATATGTCATCCGTCGCTAGTTTCCATCTAGACCGACAATCGTTCTAACTCTTACTTTTCTTTTACTCAATGCGAAAATTTTTCTTAAATATCCACTCTTTTTCCTCGACCCCTTGCATAATTTTTACCGATCCGTCTCAAAAATCGGTGGGTCCGAACCATTTTCTTCTTGAAGCGGCCGAGTTGGGCGGGAGGGTGTCGCCAATGGAGGAGGGAGTACCGCTGCACTTCTCCTCTCCGTCCTGGCAACGCCACCTATGGTCGGTCCTCAGGTAATGACGCTATCGATTTATCCAGTCTGTAATGTCCGGCCCACAGGTATTCTAGAGCTGTGCGGCACGCGAGTCAATATAGGTAACTGGATGGCAGGATCGCTACCACGTCTCGCAGTCATGTTATAGTCGGCGTCGGAACATCCACAGCGTAAAGGTAAGCTCGTCAGAAGCTCCATAATCCTTTTATCCTCTTTAAAATCACCATTCGTTAGTCTGGCTTCCCTCTTAACGTTTAATAGCTTACGCGATTCACCTTTGCTCTCGCTCTCTTCTCGGATTTAATTCTCCATTACATCTGCGTTCCGAGAACCTCCATCTTCTTGGGATGGTTTATGAAGTAGTCCATTCGTCGGAATTTTTTTATGAATCTTTTTAAGAGTATGGACTTAAANAATCCGTCCATGTCAAGCTCACTTTCAGAAACGCATCTAGAGCAGAACTGAAGAGTTCGGAGCCCACTTAAAGCACAACTGAGAAGAGTCGAAACATGCCAATTGTGTCTAAAGACGAAATGGCACAAAAATTTCAACAGAATTGGCGCGAAAAGAATCCAGACGATGTTGTGGCCGACGATGGTACGCTCAATGTCGATGACGGCTTGACCAGTCTCAATTGGCTTCAAAATCTGAACATCATGACTAAAATCGGTGCTCCTACTCCCGAGACTCCTCCGGCTAGTCCCATTTCTTCCCCCGATTGCTCCTCCAAGACCATGTCTATGCTGGGAGCGGATAGATCTTCAGGGGGTGAGAGTAGTTTTAGAACCAAAATGGGTTGCAGAAGCGTGGCAGAAGAGATCGACTACAAAACCAATGGGACGGTCAAACCCCCCTATTCCTATGCCACTTTAATCTGTATGGCTATGAAGGCCAATAAAAACAAGATGACTCTTTCTTCCATCTATAAGTGGATCAAAGAAAATTTTATGTACTATAAGAATGCCGATCCTAGCTGGCAGGTGAGTTTGTAGTTATGTACTGTGTATTGATTGAAAACAGTATTTTAGACAATAAATAGAAAAATTTCTTGATTTTAAAGTATAAAATACTTCAACACTATTCTTTCGAAATATAAATATTTAACATGATTTAAAGTATTGTTTGCAGCATTTCTTTTCGTCCACGACAAAATAAATTGGCAAACAGATTATTTTTGTTAACTAATCGGAAACAATAACAGCTACTACACAATTTTATATTTTATTGAAATATTATTCAAATATCTTCAATCATGAACAAATTATTTATTAGCTTAAAAGCTAATAAATAATTTTGTTTTCTTATTTCATTTTTATCAACAAACTTGATATTGTTCGAACACTAAAGGAAACAACATCTTAGTAATGAAAATTTTGTGTACACTTCATTTTTATAGGTGCTGTACATTCAAATATGAAAGACATTTTGCATAATTTCAACATTCTTCTTTCGAAATACTGTATACAAATATTTTAAATATATAACTATAAAGTATCAAAAAACAGTAAATCTCAGAGATGGACAAATATAGATACAAAAATTTCGAACTGTCTTTATAAATTGTTGAGATTTTCTATATCAATTTTTATCTTAATTTCATGCGAACTTTAACTTTTATTTGTCTTAAAAGAAATATTAATGTTAATGACAAAAGAGTGATGATAACATTCGAAATGTGTTTTATATTTTGACATTCAAGCAGTTTAAGTATATAAAATTATATTTATAAGTTGTAAAATACTGTATAAACTATTTGTAATTATTCATTTCATATAAAAACTAGTGATGTAACGAATATTCGGTTACTAGTTTTTCGGTATTCGACCTATTCGGCCTATTTTTCGCTATTCGGCCGAATACAGAATACCTAGAAACAGGAGTAAGAAATAACAAAAACCCAGTAAATTAATCATTTTGGTATTTAGATTTAATGTTATCAGGTTAGTGGTGTTTGTTTATATTTATTTATAACTTATAACATGCACAAAATAAAAAAGAACATAATATTAGTCACTTGTATTCACAATTTATAATTACAAAGATCAGCACACGTACACACCTATTCGTTCGAGAATCGTCACACATCTGAGGGTCTGACCTGACTATCCTTCTTCTTTTAAGCGCTCGTCTTTGCTCTTCCCTTTCTCTTACCTCTATCGCTCAAGTCCACGTATGCCTATGCATACATCATAATATGCCCTCACGATACTTTCGATTCGTCACTTTTTCGTCGTAGATTTCCCATTTTACAATTACGTGACTCATAGCCTGGTGATATCGGATAAAAGAGACAGATAGGACGTCGTTATAAGTCACAGTTATGATTTCACAGATTCGAAACAGCTCGGCAGCCCGAACGACCCCAGGCTTTCGTCCGTGCACGCTAAGTGACTTTCATTACAAGCATTTAGCTTTTAGAAGTCTATGACAACAATTATTTGGCATTCACGGCCGCGTATTTCGCGCAAATAAGCTGCCTCGACTTGTTCGAAGCAGCTTATTGAGTTGATAACATAATCGACTTGTTCGATTATGTTATCAACTCAATTTCATATTTATTTTCACATTTTCACTTCGCGGTCCTTCTCTATTCTTCTTCCGTTATTTGCACGTGTAAGTCATTTCATTGTTATCCACATTTGATATCATCACTTATCACATACTGCCATGACGCTCTTGTCTGAACTGTCAAGAATTAACGCGATTGGCGAAGCGTAGTGACAGTGGGCCAATAGAGAGCAGGGTCCTTGCCATAATGCGGTTTGCGCGCCAATTTTCGTACGTGCGTTAATCGAGCCGAATAGTTTGGCCGAATATTCGGCTATTCGGCCACGCTCCTGGCCGAATATTCGGTATTCGGCCTGAGGCCGAATATACTATTCGTTGCAACACTAATAAAAGCACTTTAAAATATTTTAGGCATAGCGTGAATTTGTAAAATTTCTACGGGAATGATGACTTGGTTTATGTACAGTACAATACAGTGCTGTAGGCTTACAATAGCATCTCTTTTTCTCTATTTAGAAGCAGATGGCTAAAAGATAATGGCAGATGGCAGTGGGAAAAGAATTACAGTAGGTTATAGGTATTTCAACGATTCTTTGAATCAATTAAAACATGCTTGAAACACCAAAAACATGTCTCTGAACAACTCTCCATTGGATTTCACTTCGTCTAGATATGTTTATCTTAAGCGTTCCTAAACATATCTAGATGTACTGACAGCAGTAGGTAGGCGAAAAAAGAGAGAGAAAAGAGTGCTATTGAAAAAGCAAAACAAAATGGCTGCTGACCGTGTGCGTTCCGTGCGGTGTCTTTGGGAAAAAATTCGCATAATTCAGAAGTCAAAAATGATGATTATACAGTTACATTTATAAATTAACTTTGTATTTTATACAAAAGCAAACTTGTAGATTTACAAAATTGTAAAATTTTCGCACTATAAGTTTGATAAGAAGAGTAAAGAAGATATCCTCGGTTAAAATTCTTCCTTCTCTGCAGATTCGGAGATACGAAAGGTAGAACAGAAAAATCACCCATTTTCCTTCAAATCAGCATCATGGCATATAATTTGATTGTCATAAATTATAGATTTAAAGATTCATTTCAAATACAGTTGAGTTCTATATGTCAAGATTAAGTTGCATATCTGTTTTAGTTTCTTAGTTACATTCAAAACTTTTGATAAGTCGAAATCATTGTTTATTATTTTTAACCAATAATTTCATAATAGCATCGTTATGCATTCGTGTTCTGCCACGTCCAGCCATAAAGTGGCAAAAATCGAGCTTGTTCTTTAATACTTTTAAAAATAGGCTAAGTTTTAACAGAATATAAATTCTTACATCCAGTTTAACTCTATTATTATTTTCGAGTAGTAAACTAATGTTATACGTAGGCTATTATGAGAATATAACTTATTTTTAAAAGTTTAAATTTTATTCTAAATAGGACAAAAAAATCTCGATATGTTATTGAGATAATTCTGCATATACTTTATATAAAAACTATTTATTATCTCTGCAATTATGTTACATTCTTGATTATAATACTACTAAAGTCACGTTTAGGTTGGAGCATCAGTGCTCCTTAGTGAACACCCTAGTATGCCCTAATGTGCACTAAACTCATGTTCTAAGTTCATGGGTTCTTGGGGGTTAGGGTTTATATTAGCAGTCCTAGGCATTTGTGGGCTACATAAGAAACTCGTATTTATCTTAACGGAAACACTCGTAGAATCGACCGAAATACAACCCATAATATAATTTAATTTATAATTTAATAAAATAATTTATGCTAATAATGCCATAAACCTAAATATTTGTGAATTCCCTCAAATGTATAATATATTGCAGTTTCTTTACAAAATTTATAATGAACAGCTTTGATTATACGTTAATTCTTGTTACAGAGAATTTCTTTCTGGAATCTATTTTTAGAATAAACTACAGAAAGTAGCATGAAAAGCGTATAAAAATTATAGTTTTTTATATGATTCTGGTTAGTATGTTAGTAAACAATCCACGTTAGTGCTTTTAATTTTTATATGAGGCTCATGTGATTTTTTGCAGGAGGAAAGAATATTAATATCGTTTAGTAAGTAAATAAATAGATAAAATATATTGAATTCAGATTAAATAAACAAGTTGATTAGAAGCCATTCGAAAATTTTCATTGCTGAATTTTTTTAATATTTTCACTTATTTTTGTTAATTAATTTTGTATGATGCAGGTTTATTGATGTTTATTTTTAGATAATTAAAACAATTGAAAAAAATAAATTCTCTTTTGAAGGTTTTTATTGATTAATACATTTAATTTTTTTTTAAAGATGAAATACTTATTTTCATCCTCAAGCTTGTAGGCTTCATCTTCAAGTGTTCGGATTGTTTCTGTCATTTATTCAGAAAAGTTAAGAATGCCATTTAAAATAATGGAGGAAATAAAAAATAGCATAAAATATTTAAATTTATTAATTAAAGAAATAGAAAACTTAATTGCATGGCAATGTTCTATTGAATATATTCAGATGGTGTAATTAAAAGATTCGAAATTTTTAATATTCATAGAGATGACTATAGGCATAAATGGTATAAGAGTATCTTCAATCTAATAACACTTAATTTTTATTTAGTAAATTTTATCCTATTTTATTGCTAGCACTTATAAATTTGTTAAGATGGTGCAACCCATCCTATCGTCTATATATTATACAGGGTGAGGCATAATTCAGTTGACAGAGCAGTATTGCTTATTGCAGTATAATTAAGTGTGGAGACAGAGCAAAGTATTGGGTAAGGGGCAGAGAGAGCTGATTTGCCCGAAATTTTGCAATTTTTAATTTTTCATCATTCATAATTTGTTAAACTTTTCACTTTCTCTGATTTTTTTTTCTTTTTGCTCTGCCGAATTTGAAAGAGAGCAGAGAGGGCAACACTAATCTCTGCTCCTGCAACTCGCATGTCCTTGAAAAGCAACACACTTTTTCGGACTTTTTAATTTTGTTTACTTTTTATGTTTCAGGACTGTAAACAGTGGGAAACAAATTACTGTAGATGAGGAAGAGTCATTTTTCCCTATTTACAACCCTGAAATAGGGACAATATTTCAGGGACAATAATTCAAAATGAAATAAAACAAACAAAATTAAAAACCAATTAACATCAGACATACTACACATCTGGAAAAATGTGTTACTTGTGCCTCACCCTGTATACATATACAGTAAATATATACGACTGGTAGAGGAAACGGCTGGCTACCATCAAAGAAATGAATGGTAAGGTTTTCTCTGCATTGTCTTGAGCGTTAGGAGTGCTTGGCATCCAAACAAACGAATAGCCCATTACCGATTACCTTCAATGCAACTGCATTTACTTATTACGTAGCAGAAGCGAAATATAATTTGGTGCAATGTTTGTTCTATACCGTGTATAGAGTATTTAATTAATAGTACACCATCAAATTTATTTTACATGTA